CAATTTTAGTGTTTTTATTTCCACTTTACTTCGTTGTTTTGGCAAAATTCTGAACAGTGGAATAATTTCCTAAAGTTCTTATCGGTAAATATTTTTTCTCTATCATAGAAAAAATGTATTCGTATAGTTAGATCAAAATTGATTTCATTATCTTTCACTCTGTTTTTTTTATTATTGTCAGAATTTCCTTATGATATTTTCCTCATTGGTTTTGTCTCTTTTGAAAGGAAATAAAAAAATCGACGTATATAAGTTTTAAAACATCATTAATAATAATCTACAACATTCTTAGACTCTACTGTACATACATTTGCACAAAAACAGTACCATTGTAAATATCTACATAAATGGACCCAAAAAACGGGATGTATTATTATTGCCTGGTATTAACCGGACCCCGTATTTCCACTGTGCCTTTTTCATCACAAATTTACAACTGTTGTTTCCATTCACAACTGTTATGTTCATTCACAATTGTTGTTTTCATTCATAATTGCTGTTTTCATTTACGATTGTTGTTTTGATTCATAATTGTTGGTTACATTTATAACTGTTGGTTAATGTCACATCTGTTGTTTTTGATTTACAACTGCTGGTTTGATCCACAACTGTTTCATTTATGACTGATTTTTTTCATTTATAACTGTCGGTTTAATGTACAACTGTTGGTTTTTCATTTACAATTGTTTTAATTTACAACTGTTGCTTTATTTCGCAGTTGTTTTCTTTATATCTTCATTGTTTGACAGATATTGGGAATATATTTTCCCCATACATAGCAAATACTGACTTTTTTGCTTGTTTGTTTCCACGAGTGTTAGTAAATGTTTAGATATCTTTTTGTTTTATTTTATTGAATCCTTTTATTGTCAATATTTGATCAATATTGGAAATCCACATTTTGCCGGTAAAGCTGCAAAATATCGTGTAGTTTTTTTTTCCTGAATTTCTAATATATATGCAAAATATGGGGTGTGTTTTTCTCTCTTAATATTTCACATATCGTCACTGGAATCACGCCGGGCACTGAACAACACAGCCGTGACCTAGGATTGACCTTGTTTGACCTCATGACCCGGCTAAGGTCACTGAAAACACAAAGGACGTCTGTCACTGGATGAACACTTATTTTTCGCTGTCTCTACCGCAAGAGGCAGGTGTGTTCTGGGGTAGTGAGCGAGGGCGTGGGCGGAGGCGTAGGCGGGAGGTTGGCTGGGTTTCAGGATCTCGAATTTCAGCCCTCCCCCCCCCCTTCCTGAAGTTCGCCGTGACCTCGACCGCGAAGGCCAAGGTTCTCTGCGCGACGTCCCTCCCTTCGCCGCAGCGCCCGAGTCGCGTCGCGTCTCAGTCCCTTCTGTCGCAGGACGAGGCTTCGCGGTCGTCGCGCCGTGGGAAGCGTCCGTCCGGCCCTTTGTGCGAGTCCTTTGGCGAGGGCGTCTCGCTGCGTCGTCTCCGCCGCCGCGCCCCCCGCGATCGCCGGCGGGTCGCCATCGCCGCCGCCGAGAACTTCCTCGCCCTGATCGGCCTCAGGGAATCACCGCACGAAATGCTCGCTCGCCCGCGCGCGCCCTCACCAGCACACGCCCTCCAGCCTGAGGGAGTTGGGCCGCGGCAGTGACAGCACTCTGTTCACCTCCTGCGCCGCGCCGACGCTTCTGGAGGAGGAGCAGACGGGGGAGGCCTCCGCGGCGGACGTGGGGGCCGGAGGCACGAAGGGCGACGTGGTGGAGGCGAGCGAGGTGGCGGGCGAGGAGAGCGAGGAGGCGAGCGACGTCCGCAGGGGGCTGGAGGCCTGGGCGAGCAGCGGCGAGGCGGGCAGGGCGGGCGGCGGGAACGGGCACACGGGCAGGAAGGGCAGGAGGCCGGGGAACTGCGCGGGCGGCAGGCCGAGGGGCAGCAGCGGCGGCGCGTGGCACTCGAGGCCGGGCAGCCTGTCCCCCGGCAGGAGGTAGTCGGGCAGCCTGTGCGCCGGAGAGGTGATGGTGGCGTCGCCGCGGCCGAGGCCCGTCATAGGCGCCAGGCAGCGCAGCGACTGCGAGAAGGAGCCGAGCGAGGAGCCGAGCGGCGGCAGCGGCCCGTCCAGCCCGCGCTCGCGGATCATCTTCTTGGTCTTGTAGCGGTGGTTCTGGAACCAGATCTTGATCTGCGTGGGCGTGAGGTCCAGCAGCGACGCCAGGTGCTCGCGCTCCGGCGCCGACAGGTAGCGCTGCTGGCGGAAGCGGCGCTCCAGCTCGTAGGTCTGCGCCTTACTGAACAGGATCCTCCGCTTGCGCTTGCGCCCCGTCGCCTCCAGGTCCTCCTCCGTGCAGTCGTCCACCTCCAGGGCCTCCATGTCCTCCTCGGGCGCCGTGAGGCTGGCGGCCGCCTGCTCCGTCGAGTCGGCTGCGGCCTGCACGGCGCTATGGGGCTCGTGCGTACCGCGGCCGGAGGGGCTGCCGGGCGCCTCCGTCGTGCCGTCGTCGTCGGCGGCGTCTGAGGGAGACAAAGGCCAAGTCAGCATCGAGAAATTCGCATCCTATATCACAGCATTTTGAATATACAAATCAACAGAATGTGCATTTTTTTCGCAAATGAGTCGAATAAAATCACAACGAACGTTACGCAGGGATTCGCAGCATTTTCCGACCGACGCCTCTCTTTGTTTTTTTTGTGTGTGCTTTCTTTCAATTCGCTAAATACCGAATAATTAATCTCTCATAATTATCGTTTATATAAACCCTAAACCAGAAGAAGAAGGCGAAGGAGAAGACGAGGACGAATAAGAAGAGAGAAGGAAACGAAGAGACGAAAATGAATAAGAAGAGACGAAAGTACGAATAAGAACTCCAGATCACCTCAAGGATTAGGGGCAAGCTCTCCCTCGTGGACCAGGGGCAATATCTTACTCAAGCAAAGGGCAAGGCATCATCAAGGGCAGGGACAAGGGCAAAGCTATCTCAGGGACAAGGGGCAAGTATTTCCTCAGGGACAGAAAGGGCTGTAGCGGTTTAGGTTTACGGGAAGGGAAAGGAAAGGGATGAAATAGAGGCAGAGAAGGGATGGAGAGGAGAAAAGGGGGAAGAAGAGGATGAGAAATGGGAAAAGGGAGAAGGGTAAGGTGTGGGGAAGGAAAAAAGGCGTGAGGGAGAGATCAGAGGAAAGGGAAAAGGACGTGAGGAAGAGCTCAGGGGAAGGGACAGGGGACAGGGAGAGGGGCGTGGGAAGACCTCACCACGGCCTACGAAGCGGAAAATGCTCGGCTATGATCGTGGCGAGAAACGAGCGTGATGGGGCGTCTCAGAGGGGGAGGGGGGGGATCGGAGGGGGAATTGGAGGAGGAGAGGAAGAGCGACTCGTACTGGGGGAAGGAGAAGGAGAAGGGGGGAGAGGGGAGAGGGGGAGAAGGTTATTTACATACACGACCTTGATGTTTGCTTACACGCCCGTGATATGCCGAAAAGGACGAGTCCATCGGCGTTTTGGGAAGGGCGTTCAGGAGAGAGAAGATAAAAAAATATCGAGTCTTGGATTTTGATGTCTTCGGTTGGCTGATACCTTTGTGTCTATTTGTCTGTTTGTCGGTTTTTTCTATCTATCTATTTGTCTATCTGTTTGTCTATCTAGCTGCTTTCTGTTTGTCTATCTATCTATCTATTTATCGGTCTGTCTCTGTCTCCTTCATCCTCTCCCCCTCTCCCTCGCCCTCGCCCTCTCTCTCTCCCTCTCCCTCACCCTATCCCTCTCTTTCTCTCTCTCCCTCTCCCTCTCCCTCTCCCTCATTCTTTAGCCCCGCGCCGATGCAGGGTTGACGATATACTCAGCCTGATCGTCTGGAAATATAAATGGCGTCCCAGTAATTACCTTAAGTAATTTATGGCCCTAACAAGGAAGGAGGGAAGGGGAGGGAAGGGAATAAAAGGGAAGGGAAGAGAAGGGAATGAAAGGAAAGGGAGGGAAGGGAATGAAAGGGAAGGGAGGAAGGGAAGGGAAGAAGAAGGGGACGAAAGAGAGACGGAGAGAAGGAGGGAGGAAAGGAAACAGAGAGGGAGAGAAAATGACGGAGCGAAGAAAAAGCAAAGAGAGAGATAATGAAGGAGGGAAAAGAGGCAGAAAGAGAGCGAAAGGAGAGAGAGAGAGAGAGCGAGAGAGAGAGAGAGAGAGAGAGAGAGAGAGAGAGAGAGAGAGAGAGAGAGAGAGAGAGAGCGAGAGCCAAAGAGGGGAAAGAGAGATTATCGTCACCGAGTACTGTTTATAATAGGCGCATATTAGCTTATCGAACCTAATTGTGACATCCATTTAACCCCAAACACGAGGGGGAATTAATCACTGGTGGGGTGAGGGGAGGGGAGGAAGGGAGGAGAGGGGAGAGGGATAAGGGAAGAGAGGGGAGAGGGAGAAGGGAGGAGAGGAGAGGGGAGAGGGGAGAGGGATAAGGGAAGAGAGGGGAGTGGGAGAAGGGAGGAGAGGAAGAAGGGAGAAGAGGGAGAAGGGAGGAGAGGAAAGAAGCAAGGAGAGAGGGAGGGAAAAACAATAATCACGGGAGTATGCAGCAAATTCAAGAGAAAGAAGATGGCGAAGGAAAAAAAAAGAATGAGAAAGAGAGGAAAGAGAAAATGTCGGTAGAAAATAAAAGAAGTAAAGGAAGTGAGCAAGTAATTGCTTAAAATCATCATGAAAATAAGAATTCGGGATATAAAATAATACTGATGACGATAATGATAATAAATAGCGTTAATGATAAAAAAATATAATAATAATAATAATAGCAATGATAATGGTAATGATAATATCAATAAGAATAGCGATAATAATGATAATAATAACAGTAATAATTACAATACTGACGATGATGATACTAAAACCTTAATTATTACATTGATAATAATAATAATATCAATAATAATAAAAATGATAATAATCAATAATTTTAATAATAATAATCAATAATTTTAATAATAATAATCAATAATGTTAATGATAATAATCAATAATTTTAATAATAACGATAATGACAACACAGTTTATGATAATCTCAACAATATATATATTATTTTCATCATCATATTAATATCAATATCAATATAACTAGCGATGTTTTCACTACCAGTAGCATTTTAATTAATAATCAATCAATAATGATAACGAATATAGACAGTATTAGTGTTTACAACGCCAATGATAGAAATAAACACGCCATTGATGCCGCATTATCAGTATTATTATCATAATCATTATTGTGAACATTACAATTACCTATTGTGATTGTTATCTCGTCACTGAAGTCATTAACGTTATCATTGTTATATTTTTCTGCTATTACCATTGTTATTATTATTATCATCACTATCATTTTAATTTCTATTAGTATTACTATGATCATCGGTATGGTTATCATTAGTATTGAAATTATTATTATATCGTTCTTTATTATCTTCGTCGCTATTATCATTATTATCAATATCATTGTATATATTCTTATTATCATTATTATAACTGCTTTTTCTATATTGTCAATGTAGTTATTTTTATCATTATCTCTGTTATTTCTTCTTCAACGATTTCATCTTGATCATCTTTATTTTCAAAACATATAAAAAAATTGTTGAATGGAAAAAAAATCAGAACAAATATATATATAACCAGCGCTTTGCCATTTGTCGCATTAATATTATCTAAGCTATGACATAATAACAAAATTTCTATCAATATTATTATTGCCATTCACATTATTTTTATCAACGTCATTATTATTATTAACGCCATCATTACTATTAAAGTTATCATTGTTCCAGTCATTCCATGACTGTTATTAATCACATTGTTATTAATATTATCATTGCTGTTATAAATCTGTACGTATGAATATATGCGCGGGCGATCCAAGTGTCATTGTTTCCGCCGCCGCAGAATAAAAGCTTTTTCGGTGCCTTCAACGCGTCACGGCCGGGGAGTGAATTTGGACCACCGCCTCGTACAGTCCATTTTGAATTCTCCGAACTGCCGTGTGAGAGAGAGAAAGAAGAGAGAGAGAGAGGGAGAGAGAGGGTACAGAAGAGAGAAGAGAGAAGGAGAGGGGAGAGAGAAGAGAGAAAAAGAGAGAAAGAGAGAAGAGAGAAAATAGAGAAAGATAGAGAGAATGAATTTGTTCCGCTTCCGAACGCCACCTGTGAAAACTCTCCGGCTTCGACCCACCGCGTTTCAAGCCCTAATTTGCCATCGTTAACCATCGTAATTATCAATATTCCATCTTCTTGCGAAAAATAAACGAGACTTTTTAATACCATTACTTCAAATGCTGCCATTCCCTTTTCTCGACGCTATTAATGCACAAACTTCAGCACACACAACACACAGTTGACACAAGAATCCCAATAAAATAGGAAAAAAATTAAAACAAATTTTTTAAGAAAATAGATAAAAAATGTAGCTTACCTGAACAAGGTGTGGGGGCATCGTGCAACTGAAGGAGGTCCCGGACTGAAAAGCCGCGGGGAGGCGCCGGCCGCTTCTCTTGTACCTGCAGGAGAAGGTTAGCTAAGGTTAAAATTCCGCTTGCTGTTGTTATTAATATTATTATTTTTAAGCTTTAAAGGACTGATGGAAAAGGGGGGGAGGAGGGAGGGGAGAGGGGATTGTCTATGATAGTAACTTGGTACTTTTTTGTGTTTTTATTCTAGTATTTTGTTTCTCTGGGTGTACGGTTTTGGTGAGGTTGATTGTACTGTCTACTTAGCATGTAGCCGCGACGCAGTATTGTGTCTACGTCGGAGTTTTCCTGGGGTGGGGGATGGAGGGGGGGGAGGGTTCTAGATACATTGAGTTTCGACTTTATGAACTGACTTCGAAAAAAATACACTGCAGTTGTTGTTTTTACACTACCTAACAACTACGCATCAGCATTTCACGAAATTTCGGACACTCTGTATAAACAAGACTACACTCCTATTCAATACCTATCATTAAAATACGCGACATTCAATAAAATCTAATATGTAGAGGTGTATATATATTTTTTTTAATTTTTTTTTTCTCTCGCGCACTTCACAAATTTTGGCTCCCGTGGCTTGAGTTGCATTTGTGGATGTCAGTGGCTTGTTTCCGAGGCCACAGGAACGGGTGACTTCAACCTCAATGGTGCCGTGCTCAAGCGAGAGAGCGGCCGAGTCCCTAGGCGACACTATTCACTGGGAAAATTGGCGTTCCCGAAGGCGCATTGGCGGTACTTACTGTGATCATTGTGGAAAGATGGGCACTGGGTAAACGCGTAGAGTGGGGATGCAAGTACTCCTGAGGGAAATTACTCCTGGCGAAGACACACAACTGACGCCGTCTCTCTGAGTTCTGGACTCACTCTCTGCCTCGCCTCGCGCTATCGGCTTTAGGCGGCCCCACCCCATTGGTCCGCGCCCAGGGGGAGGAGCCAGCGGCGGAGGCGGGGCTTAGGCCGTGCGCGCCGCTGATTGGTCGGGCGGGGATGATGGTCTCATTATCGCGAGGGAAGAGGAGTCGGCCGGATAAGTG